ACACACACACACACACACACACACACACACACACACACCAAACTGACCTTGGGGTATCTGACATTGTTGTGGGCTGATCAGACCTCTCTCCATCAGAACTGCTACGGGAACGTTCCAGCCAGCTGTGCGGCCATATCCGGTGTGACAGGAGCGACGGCCACGCAGGTCGTCTAGGTTACGAATGTCAAAACTGCTCTTTTTCACCACTGCAACTGCATAGTATGAGGAACCATCATAGTCGTCTGGAGAAAGAAAAGAAAAAAAACCCACTCGCATGATTGCTTCTCGTCTGTGAAACCAGACCACTGTGACTGTATTTTGGAGTCTCTGTGTTATTACCTGTGTAGCTCTCGCCGGTAGCTGGGACCAAGCCATAGTCTTTGCCTGCAGTGTAGATATAACCTCCATCCAGAGTGATGGCATCGGCATCTTTGTTCTATAAACACATGACAAGGAAACGCTGGAGTGAAGATACCAGAACTGCTAGAATAAAGCATTTTTTATATCATTTCTACAAAAGTATTCTGCAGGCTGATGTATAATAGCTGTCTGAGATAAGTAAGTAACATATTTACATATATTCGTAAGTGCATGCTAGTTGTGAGGTAACAAGACAATGTACATGTGACTATTATGTATCCTTAATATAGCAGTTTTGCCCCAAAAGGCAAAACTGCTGTGGGCTGTAGAACAGGGGTGGGTTTGCTGTCTACTGTGGGCCCACACAGTCATGTTTGCTATTTCAGTAAAGCTAAATGTTAGGCAATATCATTTTATGCAGTAGGTAAATGCAACACTTGCATTACGTGACGTGTTTGTAGGGAACTGAATGCAATGATCTGAGTTATTGTCGTTTTAGGGGCTAAGAACCAGTAGGGAGATTTCTGTTACCTTGATTTTCTTCATACAGTCAGTCACAGAGTCCCCGTAGACACAGTTAATGTTTGGAGTTAGCCCTTTACTCTGGAAGGCCACGCTCATGTCAGCACATTTCTGCTGCTCACCGCTGGATATCACACACCACCGCAAGGGATTTGGGATATCTGACATGGGAGGTAGTTGTAGGTTGTAAAGACAGTTAAATAGGTTTTAAAGCAAGTTCAGGAATGCTCCGAAGTGTTTAATAAAAGATTGTTCACCTTTGGGATCACAGTCCATGGCCTTCAGAGCATTATGGTACCTATTACCCATCCACTTCTTGGGTTCATCCGAGTTAGCTGCCTTAAAGGTGGTGGTGAGATTAGAGAAAAGCACAGTTCCGTCTCCATAACCCGCCGATGAAAACATGGGGAAGTTTGACTTTTGCTGCAAACAGGAGGTCAATGTTAATTAACACTGGAGTACTATGACTAGACTGTTATTCAAATAAAACATGGAAGGCATTATCACATGTAAAGGTTAAGATGGTTAAATCCTGCCACATCTTAAAATACTTTTACACTTTATTCCAAACTTGACAACTTGAAAGCCAAGTGGTAACCATATGTTCACATGTATATAAACCATATGCCAGTGTTTCTCAGCTATTATTTCAGTTGGCCTCTAACACAGACTTGAGTGAAATCTTAGATTTTCAGCTCACAGCCAACCTCCAGTTTGAACCCTTAACTACACTAACACATCCACACACTCTATATGCAATAAGAAATGTAAGCAATCTCACACCAAGGCTAAACTGGTGACTATTGTGGAGTTGTTATTAATATCACAGAGCTTTTGCCATTACTCGTGCTTTTAGCACTGAAGCTGGCAATTTGCTGTCAGTAGCATAAGTACAGTTAAACCGAGGTGCTTCAGATGGTCGAAGAACACACTCTTCCAAAATTATTATTGGAGATTGATTCAGGCTTAACCAGCCATCTGTACAACTGACAAGCACGTAACCAGACAGTAAGTGGAACATATGGCAGCACAGCACAGGTTTAATTGATTTTCAATTCTAATCTCACCTTTGAGAAACACAAACAAGGTCACCCAGGCTTGCTACTACCTCCGGAGGAATATTGCAATTTTAGGTATGTGTACATAAATGTGTACATATATATGTGTGTTTATTTGAATATATGATGTTTAATTCCATCTTTTTCTTTTAGGAGTTGCTATTAATATTAATTTTAAGTTGTTCACATTTGAATCACACCTTCAAATTTTTAGTGAAGATGTTTAATTGACTCAAAATGTTTGGACAGCAGAACCTTGTAACACTAGTTTTGAAAAGTGCAAATACAATTTAATATTATTATTATTAGTAGTAGTATTCAACCGATTATAAAGTCAAACAGGTTCAGTAGCCTGAGTTTGTTTAACTTGTTTAAGTAACATTTTTTTGTAATGGTTATTCATACTCATGTGACGGATGGGAAAAAAGGCTCTGACGTTCACAATGCAGAAAAATAACCCCTTGGCTTACTGAGGTGCTACTGATGTGCCATTAATGTCTGAATGTTCCTAAGGAGGGTTTGTTTGGACCTACCAGGCCTTCCATCAGCATGTTAAACACCACAGAGGGACTGATGTCATTTCTGACCACAACACCACGAGATGGGACAGGGACCAAGTTGCACCGGCTCCACTGAGTAACAGGAGCTCTAGTGCCATCAGGACACAGCAGTTCATAGTCTGAGGACTTCAGATCTTGTGCCCAGGTTGGACCATGACCTGGTGAAGAAGCACCTGGTTAAGTTACATCCTGAATGATAAAACCGGCTTAGTAGGAAACTAATTACTATAATAACCAACTAATGTGTGTCTACCCTTCACTAACTATGACTTTACCGTCAGTGTTCTCCTCTACAGTTGTGCCTTTGATGAAGGCCACATCTCCAGCACCTTCAGCCAAACACCTACAGAGACCAAGAACAGGACATTTGCAGAGTTTCAAAATACAAGCTATTAAAAGCTTATTCAGTCCTCAGGTTAAAACACACACACACACACACACACACACACACACACACACACACACACACACACACACACACACACATCTTGCTTCATAATTTTGATGTAATGTCAAAATCAATAATTTAAACTTTGTTGTGAAATAGAAACAAATTAACAGATATACTGGACTCATACCTAACTGTGTATCTTCTGTGTAAGAGTGTAATGAGTGTGAATGTGGGTTTACCTGAAAGCTCCTTCGTAGCTGTAGTACCTCTCGTTGCTGCTCATCTCACATTTGTGCTGCCCACTTTCATCTCCTATGCACAGCTGACATAGAGACTGGAGCTCACCTTGGGGAGCTCCAGGGATACAACTGGCACTGAAGAAATTTGCAACACCTAATGTGCAAACACACACGCATGCAAAGAAATGTTACTGTGACACGCAACCGGTGTATTACATTATTCTGTAAGAATATGTATTTTGAGAAGTGTGTAAAGTTTACTTTGGATGTTCAGCAGGCAATCTCAGTTAGTTTTATTAGCATTATCATTTTAATATTTTTCCTGTAGAGTTCATACACCAAAGTACCAAAATAAACACTAAAATAACTTTAAATACTGTGAAGAATCATTTTATTGACAAGGATTCAGATCACCATACTAGACTACGTCTGTCTACGCTTAACTAACTAGGATGTTAGTTAAGGATCCTTGTTAGTGCCCTCTACACCCTCTAGCAGACATGGGGAAACCTTTTGAATACAAGCGCGCTGATCCACACAGGTGTGCATACGGGTGTTCACTGTTCATAGACATAAACTACACCTTTCTTGGCTGCTACTTCAAAGCACATTGTGTGCTGTCGGTCCTGCTTGCTGCACAACAACATTCAATATTTAGTATTTACTGCTGTTTACACTTAGCTAGATTAATGTGATGGTGTTGTGTTTAGTATGTTGCTCTGTTTTTTTTGCCTGTTTTCTCTTCTTTTTCTCTCAACAGGTGATCCAGGAGATTTTTCTTTTTCTTCTTTCTCTCTTTAAGTGCCCTTCCTCACTGTCCTTCTTCCTTTCTGTTTTTCTTTTCCTTCATCTTTCTTTCTCCCTTTCCTATCCCCCAGTCATGTCTGTCCCGTCTGTAACAACTGAAAATGAAATAAAATAAATAATAACAACAAAGGTTGATCAAATGGACCAATACAGCAAGGCTGTGATGATCCATTTGGCAAAGTAAATCCATTGGGCATCCTTGTTGGCCTTCAGACAACAATTCTGACGGCTAAAGAACCAAATGGGACAGGCAAAAAAAAAAAGTTAGTTAAGTTAGTTAAGCTTAGACAGAAATCATAGTCCACTACCAGACTTGGTAAATGGCTTGCAGCTGAAAAGTTGTGGCTAAATAAGTTGGCTAAATAAAGCTACAGGTCGTTAACAGTTTAGACAGTAAAAATAGAAAATAACTAATTATCAGGCTTTTACATTGAAAATCTGACAACCTAAAGCATAAATACATTTTTATAACTAGGCTTTGATTTTGAATTTTGAGATGTTTATTACAATCCTGATGATTTTGTAATTTTTTTTGAAAATGTCACATTTTAAAATCATCTTGATAGCACCCAATAAATAACTGAAGGCTCATAAAGAGTTTATACCAGCGGTCCCCAACCCCCGGCCTGTGAGTCGTTTGGTACCGGCCGCAAGAGTTGAGGCTCCGTTGTGAAATGTATGGTTTTCAGGGTTTTTATTGGTTTTCAGCGTTATTTTGTTATCGTTTTTATCGTTAACTCGGTTTTCCTTGGTCTTTTCACGTGTGTTATGAATAAATCTTCTTTTTTTTCAGTACCGGTAGTAGTTTTATTTTGTTGTATTTATCCGCCACACCTTAAAGGCCGGTCTGTGAAAATATTGTCGGGCATAAACCGGTCCGTGGCGCAAAAAAGGTTGGGGACCGCTGATTTATACAACCATTTGGAGACTTTTACTTTGAAAACACACATCACTATGTTAATCATGATAACCTTCCTATGCGGGTATTTTTTTACTGCAGGTTCAACTGCCAGTTAAAATGACACAATGTTCCTTTAGTGTATATATAAATATATATATTCGCTATCATCTGATCATTTATTAATAAGTTCTATGTAGCTGTGAAAATAAGTTTAATAGGCTGTGTTGTCCTGGTCACTTCGTCTTGTACCTCCATACTCACCTGTTCAAGATTACTCCATAAAACAAACTTAACTCTTGTTATTCTCTGCTAGCTGTACTGTGTTCCTGTCATGTTGTATTCTGTCTAAAATGACTAAATATTGAAAACTCAAACATGTCACTCATACCCTGTGGGATGTTGCAGCCCATCACGGACATGTAGCCTTGGTCTATCAAGTACCCTATGGGCATGTTCCACCCAGCAGTGCGACCAATCCCGGTGTGGCAGCTCTTCTTTCCTTCCAGGTTGTGGATATTGATGCCAGAGTTTTCTTTCTTCACTACAGCAACTGCATAGTAGGTGGTGACAGCTGAAGCAAAAAAGCACAGGTATTAGCAACTGCTGTATGAGACTGATAAATCTAGACCCACAAATGGTGTCTGACATGTTGACACTGAACTCCTATTATCAGACACCAAAAGATCTCTGGGATCAAAGTATAGTTTACCACATCAGTTTTGAAATATCCCACATGTACAATTATTGTTGGGATTAACAGCAGTCATAATGTAACACACTTATCGTAGATAAACATAATGGCTGACTTGGTCATTTGCTATCTCTGTGAAACACTGTGCATTAATGTTAGTGGAGATAAGCCAGAAGATATAAATTCAATAGAAAGACATGATATAAAGAGCAAATGAGATATATTCTCCGCCGAGTTCAGAAGATAATCCTTCTTGAAGAGTCATAAAAGCTTAAAATGTCATAAAAGCTTCAAGAGTGACAAAAGCTGAGTTTTACTATGTAATAATAGTAAAACCTTTACATATGAATAAAACATTATTCATATGTAATGCTGTTTATTTAGGCCTATGTGCTTGCTTTTTATGAGAAATCAAGCTACTCTTGTTTCATTAGCAACAAATTAACTAACCCTTACAAACTGAGCCAAAACTCAGAAATAGTGTGAGAAAATCTAAAAACACCATTACTGCTTCTGCGGGAATTAAGAGGGTGAGTAGCAGCCAGGTGTTCCTTATCAAATACATTAGATTAACCTCTTAAGCCCCAAGCCTACCTGATCTCCTGCTTTTTGCCCCCGTATCAGGGGGCGTTGGGGCTTAAGAGGTTAACTGATCATCAGTAAGTGTGAGCATCTCTATAAAAGCATCAGTTTTGACACAATTTTCCCAACTGTGGGTACCCCAGCAAATTCTCCCCAGAATGTGTGATGCTCAGAGGAACTGCAAAAACAACACACTCTCACTCCCAAAGCGTAACATTTTACACTACATGACAAGTCCTCGATATATTACTCTTCCGGGCACCCAACACGTCCCTAAGTTACAAGATCGTAAAAATGAGGAAACATGAGAACTGTTGGGAATGAATCCACACATGTACTTTTGTTTTACTTAAATCGCTTTGGAAAACACTATCCAACGTCATTAAAGTGCTGGTTAACCTTAGGGATAAGGTTGGGGTTAGGGCTTGAATACATGGCTGGAGTGTCATTCTACTGGATTTCATCCATAACCTGGCGCATAGCATAAGAACGTGGAGGGTCACCTTTCGCCTTCCTCAGGAACTTGACAAATGGTCATTATATTACGCCTCAGGAGTGATCACGGGCTGGTAGGCCTCAGTTGCCATGTTAATTTCAGAAGTTCATTAGAATTAGCACAATTAGAAAAAGACTAAACAAGGACAGATTGTTTGAAGGGTTGTAAGGATGTTTACTGCACACACAGGAGAAAACCTCTTTCCTCTAAAAAAGAATAAGGCACAGCTTAGGATTTGCAAAGCTGCATCTGAACAAAATCACAAGGCTTCTGGATCAGTGTCCTTTAGACAGACAAGACCAACCTGGAGATGTTTGGCCATTACGTACACAATATTTGTCAAATACTGCAGGGTGCAGTACGCCGTTCAGACCTATTGCAGTCATGGAATCGGCCATATACCATGGACAGTGATCTGTGTCTTAGCAGCAAATTTACAACAGAATGTCTGAAAAAGTGATCAAGGTGTGGCAAAGGCCCATTCAAAGTCCAAAATTGAAATGCTCTGTCACGACCTTAAGAGAGCTGTGTACAAATTAATGAGTGCAAATCTCAATTATCTGAAGTAGCTCTGGAAAAGGGAGTGGACCGAAATTCTCCCCAATGATGTGAGAGCCTGATAAAGTTATACAGAAAGTGATTATGTTCAGTTGTTGCTGCTAAACGTGGTTCACTGAACCATGGGGTGTACTCAGGTTTTCACACACTGGTTCTGCATTTTAGGTTAGTTTTTAAAATTAATTAATTAATTAATTAATTAATTAATTTAATACCAAGGTGCAATATCTCCTTGTCATATTGTGAATGGATAACCTCACTAGTCTCCTGACTGAAGTTTGGTCTGTTTACAGCATCCTGCCATACAACTGCATTTGTCCCTAACCATCGGGAACCCTCGCGTTAACATTTATCGAGTTAAAAAAGTTAGTGTTCATCCTCCAGCTTCACTGTGCTAATGCGTTTATATTATGCTAACCATAGCTCTGTTGCTAGCCACCACATAGCACATCATTATATACCCGCTAGTCCAACTTTAATAACCCTACAAATGTCACTGCTATTTAGTTTTGTCTTCATTTATGTTGGAAGTGACAGCAAAGCTATAGGTTTTCATTTTTCAGAAATCCCTCAATCGGAAAATGGTATATTATTTAATCTTAAAATGTTTTTGGAGACTTCCTGTATACCACTAGAGGGCGCCCACGTACCACCAGTGGTACGCGTACCACAGTTTGAGAACCACTGCATTAGAGGTTGTATTTAAATGTTCCAATATGTAAAACCTTTTGTTTTCATTGTTTTGTTAGTTGATTGTAGTCTGTCTGTGGCCAAAGAAACAGTTGTTAGAATATTTATTTTATTTATTTAGACATTTCTAGTTATTCTGTATTATTTAAACAAGCATGCAGTGATCGAATGCCTTTTTTTTAAACTTTGTCATGTTCCTGTACTTATGCTGAGCTCAGCTAACCCACTAGCTTCATCACTTCTCCTTAATTGTAATTCACAGATTTGGGGTCTTACAGCCATCCCGTGATTCACTGCCAGCCATCTTAAACGAAGCTGTTTTCCCCAAGTTGTAGATGTCTTTGGCAGACATGGACAGGGCATCAGCTTCCTTTCTCTGCAGACAAAAATATTAATGATAGTGAAACACAGGACATAGGGCGTCAGCAGTAATGGATGACTCATTAACTCAAACATTGCAAAGATGATAACTAATGAAGAAATCTTTGAAACAACAACAAATTTTTACCAATGAAAGGTTTTAAAATAAACATGAAACATGCTTTTAAAATGTAATAGCTGATATTCTCCTAGGATTTAAACTGCTGTCTGTAATTCAAGCTCAGCCATGCTTATGCTTCATTAACTGGGGCAACTTGTTCTCAGGTCAGAAAGCTCCCAGTCTGTGGTTGTCATAAAAAAAAGAAACACAACGTGTGCATTGTGCTGATAACAGATCACCAAGTTATTGGTTCATGGTTTATGTTGTTATCTGAAGTCTGACTGTACTTTCTGGTACTCGGAGCATTTAATCAACTTTAATGGGTCCTTGTTGGTCCCACATGACTGAAATAAACAATCTTCAAACTTTTTGGGTCCAAGGAAGCTTCGAGTTTGATTTCCTACCAGTTCAATCTTACCTGTAGTTTCTGACCGCAGTCCTCCACTGACGCTGCATTGACGCAGCTGAGGGAAGGACGGATGGAGGCTGTGCTGAAAGCCTGAGACATGGCCTGACATTTCCTCTGCTCGTTCTGTGAGATGGTGCACCATTTGATTGTGCTTTGGCCAAACACTGAGGGAGAGACAGAGGGAGTTATTCTGGCATTAAACTGTTACACCACCTGATTTACAAAAATGACATTCTGCTTCAGCACTGCTATTCCCAACATGGGAACTGGGATGTAAAAAGGGTTGCAAAATAATTTACTAAATGGGAAAAGAAGCATATTTTTACTGCACACACGACATTCATTTTCTCAGATATTTTTCTCTGTGGTACAGCAATAAGGACTGAACAGTGTTATTCCTCCAGAATAGGGGATTATTGATAGAAATAGCTTCACTTTTATTGGTCATCAGTTAGCAAGGATGTAACCAGAAATAACTGTAATAATACAAAAGGCACCAGTACAAGGTAAATGTCCTACTTTTTAAACCTTTTGTAAGTAAACGGTACTTACAAAAGGTTTAAAAAGTAGGACATTTACCTTGTTGTGCACAGTTTGTTATTATGGTTTCTTAATCATTTTTGCTTAATTTTCTTTGCCAAATTATGTGTACAGAGTATTTAAATCTTAAGAGTCTTAAGAATATTCAAATCTAAAAGTAAAATTGTTTTTATGTACATGGACACTCAATAAGATCCAACACAGGATCAAAGATCTTTCAGATAAAAGTAAAACGGTTGCACCTTCTTTCATACATTTACAGCATATTTAGCTTTAAAAAGCCAGTCTTACCAGTATGTAGTATTAGCAGTAGTGTTCCAACTGTCCTCCACATGGCCACAGCCTTGTTCTTGTTTCCGCTCTGCTGGATGAAATAATCTCCTTTCTCCTCACCTCTGCTTTATAAAATGACTTCTGAGTCAAAGTCCTCCTTCAATTTCCAAGGCTCAGCTTAAAGTCCACGGGCAAAGCTCGTATATGGCTGTATTTTCCACTGTTTTACAACTCAGACACCTATAATAGTGTCTTGCAGGGATTAAAATGAGATATTAGCTCAAGTTTTTTCTAGACTTTAAGGAGTGTGCCTCCCTGGTTTACCAGGTCTGACACGTCTCTGCTGCCGCTGCCTGGCTGCAGGCCAAAGCCTGGACACAGAGGTCTTTTTTAACCCACCTCTGCTTTCCCCCTCCCTCCTCTCCTCAACCAGTCTGGTGCTTTTCCACTGATGTGCAAAAGGAAAGAAGGAATTCAGGCCAGCACATTGAGGTTGTAACTGACTCACAAAACAAGAAGTGTTTTTACCTGCTCTCACTGCTAAATTTGACCTTGTTTTTGTCTAAAAGACATGATGTTGCCACAAGGTGACCACAATGTAAGGATTACACGTAAAAGTTGGGCATTTAAAATCTCACTTAAAATTAAGAAATACACATGTCTACACAAAAGTTATTTTTACCGCAGATAAAAAAAGCCTCCCTGTGATGGATTTATAGTACTACGACTTATTAATAAAGTGTTACAGAGGCATCTGTGAGTCAATCTGTTGCTGCTGGTGGGGGAGCTTTTTATATCATTAATAAGCAGTGTTGGGTAAGTTACTTTAAATTAGTTAGTTACATTACTAGTTACTTCTATCAAAAGTAACTCAGTTACTTCAAGTTACTCGTTACTTTCAAAGTAACTAGTTACTAGGGAAAGTAACTTTGGTTTTACTCAGAATTCTCTTGTTAATGTGTTGCTTCCGTAACTGGATACCCAGCAAGATTGCCAGTCTTCTAGCTTGCTTACTTGCCACAAGTGCACTGTGCCACCTACCAATAGAAAGGAAAAGATCATGTGCATATTTCCATGAGAGAAATCCCACGCCTGGACCGTCGTTGACCGCCCCCATGATTCCAGCCTACGTCACAGCGTCATGTGCGCTTTTTAACATCCAACAGGAAAACTGCAGTCGTGGTGCTTTCGATTGTACTCAGAACTCGGAAATTCTGCCTTCTGAATAGGAAGATGTAG